TGGGAACCAGGACCCGCCTCGAATCCGTTTTTTGGATTCTCGTATATTACCATCGCACCCTTTCTTTCTAATTTTCTCTTTTTATCCATTGGACAGACTGTACCATCCTTCACACATATTGCCTTTCCATTCCTAATCTCCGTTACCCTAACCAACCCAAGATTTTCACTCTCCATTTTCACAAATTGTACCCTCTCTTTTTTAGACCCCATCCCCACATTTTCCGTCATTTGTTCCCCCACGTTACCATTCCCTACACCCTCTTTTCTAAAATTTGCGAAATTCCCTCCCCTATTTTTTAGGACAGGATCACTCCCTTCCCCATTCTCGCTCCCTGATTTTCTCTCTCCCTCGATGAAATCGGGGTTTCCTTATCCATCATGTTTCTCTCCTCCGCCCAATTCTATGGCTTCAACCACTATGCTCCAGCCATGACCACCGACCTCCTCTCTGCTCGTAGCCAAGGACCATATGCAAATGGTTCAGTAGTCTGTCCACGATTTTGCCATAGTTTACGGAAAAACTTATCAGTATGTCCGAGAATACCATAGTAAAAGCAGAAGATTCCTAGTTGTTCATACTGAATGAGACTTGTATACAGGAACCCCTAGGTCGACGGATATTCATTGTCTTTTTCAGAAGGTTTCGGACGTCAATTTGAACCCTAACGCGCATGTAGTCTCTGCAAATGGAATCGTGATTTTTTGGGTCAGCATACTGGAATTCCCCGAGTGTATTGCCAATATCCTTAACCACTCTCTCTGATCGGAGAGCGCCCACCAGATCATGTATTTGGATCCAGATTTCTAGTTTTGTGAAATTAAACATATCTTGGGTTTTGTCCTGGCGGAAGGGGCTTCATAATGATCGGGCATTGTTCAAAGTTCCATGGTCTGTCTTTTAGAGTCCTAGTATAGTCCATTTCATCGAAGAATTGGAAAGCAAAAGCATTGTTACCTAGTTCTTTCACCACCATACATTCCATTGGCCGGATAGCCTTTGCCAATGCATCCTTAGAGAACTTAGGATTTATGACCTAGCGGTAAGCACCAGGGCTACAATACACCATTGCGTGGTATCGTCATGCAAGCTCTGGCTGGCTAGGTCTGCATCGTCTCCATAGTCTAAATCAATTTTTGAGTCGCCGAGATTTAAGCTGGACATTTCCTCCCACGGAGGGCTACCGCCAGTGGGGCGTGTAGAAGCCATAGTCGCCAATAGCGGATGTAGAAAGCGAGAACTCTAGTTACTAAAGAAAACTTGTTATGAAAACAAGAGGACTGCTCTCATACAGAGAGAGTTTAGATGTTTGTACTTTAGAAGAAGTGTTTATTTTGTGTTTAGATAGACTTCTCAAATAACTGAAGGAGAAAAAAACAGATAAATTGCTGCATTATTCTTATACTATTACTTAGAGAAATTAAACAAATTAGAATAGAATTGGACAAGGCTTAAATTTGTGCCTTGTCACCAGCCACCAGGTCCACCATACAAAACCATATGTTTCCAATCACCCCCAACATTTTCAACATCTACGGCGTTGTATACATTAGGACTATCTACATGTGTTGTCAATTTACCTATGTCTATATTTTAGCCTTTATCGTTTAAAATTGTAATATTTCTGCAATATCCATCACGCGTAGTGTTTCCTATACATGGGCGGTTCAAGTATTCCAGGTGGACTATATACCACTCCGCCAAATTCAATTCTTGTTGCAAAATACGTAAAATCATCAAACACCACTTGAGGCCAAAAACCAATTGGTGTATGAGTGTTTGTAATAAATAACCACCAATTTCCATTGTTTAAGTCCTGTTTTCAATAGAAAAAAAAATGGTTAATAAATAAAAAATTTCTGTTGTATTTGTGCTTCTCTACTTGAAGGTACAACATAAGGAAAAAAAAGTTACCCAATTTAAGTAAAAACCCAGGTCATATGTCTTCACTCCAGGTTGTGAAACGGGAGAAATTATTGAATCTACCGCTATTTCTGTATTTATAAGTACAAAAGCAGGTTGTAACATCCTGAAAAAAAAAATGAAAATCTACATTTAAGGGACCAAAAAACTTATAATATAGTATATATAAGAAGCTAACTGATCTTACTAGTAATTGGAGACTTACGTCGAAATGTATGTATAACCTAGTATTATTGTCGCCGTACAGAGTAGGGTCAACCTGAAGCAAAGAAAAAGGATAGATATGTGAGAATTGAGTTGTAATTAACTCACTTTTCGAGTTATTACCTTGTAATTTACAAGTATACGGTTCAACAATAACGACCGAGTAAAATCTCACAAGTGGGGTTTGGGAAGGGTAGTGTCTACACAGACCTTACCCTACCCCGATGGAGTAGAGAGGCCGTTTTCGATAGACCTCGGCTTAAGAAGATGGAAAAGACGAGAAGAGACAATATATCAGTACCATCAACAAAAATCATACTAATAATAACAACATCACAATAAAATAGATGAAATGTAATAACAATAACCATTAAATAAGGCTCAGTGTTTTGAAAAATTGAAGGATAGTGTGAATACAACATTAACCAGGAGCCATCTAAGACCAACCATATCAAACTAGCCTCACCCCCAGTACGAAAGTAGAAAAATGTTCGACTACCTCCTAGCCTACCACTGTACCAGAAGTATACAATTCATATTTCTTAATTCTTTTTGAAGGTGATTGAGGCCAGAGGCGGAGCCATGATTCCAATTTTATGGGTTCGGAATTTTAGTCGTCTTAAGTTACTGGGTTCTAATTAATAATTTATACATATTCAATAAAAATTTTAAGATAAATATAGGGTTCAAATAAAAGCTACTGGGTTCGGCCGAACCCACTCTCGACACTCTAGCTCCGTCTCTAATTGAGGCATCATATGAATTAATGTTTAGTGCGCGTCAATAGCGCAGTCACGCTCAGGCCGCACTCGTCAGGCAGAACACTGGGCAATATGCGCGGCCGCGCTAGTCAAATCCGGAAAAAGTATTTTTTTCGTCTAAGAGAAGGTATAATTATTTGGGCCCAACCCTACTTGGTATATATACATGAAAAAAATGGTATTTTGAGGAGGTTGGACATACTTTTGACACATATTCGACCTAAGGAGACAGAGACACAATAGAAGCAAGGCGGGGAATTCTTTTATGAGTTTTTTCTTCCTCTTCCTATTTTTCATTGTTGGTTATGATTTTTAGTATTTTAGTTTTACATACTATTATGAATAGCTAATTTGTTATCTAGGGTTTTGATGGAACCTTTTTTGTAGGATGAATTATTGTTATGTTTTTATATAATTGAGCCGTAATATTTTCTTTATTTGTTCAACTATATTATTCTTGTGGTTGATTGAAAGGCCCTCAATTAATTGTACCTATTTAATATGTATTACTCGGGAGAGAGTGCATATTTAGGTAGTTGTTGAACAACATCACTCCTGACGTATGTGAGGAATCAATAACCTATGGTTTAAAGGTGGGATTAGGGATAACGAAACCTTGGGTGCGATCTAAGTGAGATATAAATTAAAGCCAGCTAGCGTAACTCGGGAGAGTATCTAGTAAATTATCGTAATTACTCGGAAGAGAATTACAATACGCAGAGCGCTCATGATCGCTAGAGAATACTTAGGCGAAATTATAGAAGATATAGCGGGAAGGATTCCGACGATTGGGGAAATCATAAATCTAGATCTCTTTAATCTTTTCTCCAACCTGTAGTATCTTTAGTGTTAATTTATTATTTTAATTTATTAGTTAGTTAGTTAAACACAAGAATCTTAATATCTATAAGTTAGGAATTGTTCAAGTTTGTATTCTTGGTGATAGTGAACAACTGTAGCTAAGCCTTATTTCTCTGTGGGATTCGACTCCAGACTTGTAAACCGGATTATATTTGTAACGACTGCTTAGTCTTTTTTATAAGGCATAGTTGGGCGTTACCAGGCAAGTTAAATTTCTTAACACACACAAGGCCCGATATCAGTTTTGCATGTCAACATCTTAGCCAGTTCTTGTAAACTCCTTGTGTTCCTCATATGCAAGCTGTTTTACATCTCTTGAGGTATTTGAAAAGGACTTCTGACTTTGGGCTATTCTTCCGTAATTCTTCTGACCTTTCTTTAAAAGTATATTGTGGTAGTGATTGGGCTTCTTGTGCTGATAATAGAAGATCTGCAACTGGTTTTTGTGTTTTTCTTGGTGATTGTTTGGTGAGCAGGAAATCCAAGAAGCAACTTGTGATCTCTCTTTCTTCTGCTGAAGCTGAGTACATGGCCATGAGTAAAGCTACAATTGAGGTTACTTGGCTTTCAAAATTGTTTTATGATTTTGGTCTTCCTTCTTCTTCTCCCCATCCTTTGTATTGTGACAACTATGCAGCTTTGCACATTGCCCACAATCCAGTTTTTTCATGAGCGGACTAAGCATATAGAGCTGGATTGTCATTTCGTCAGAGGCAAGATTGGTGATGGGCAAATTAGCTTGGGTCATGTATCTAGTGATGCTAAAGTTGCTGATATTCTTACCAAGCCCTTCCTGGACCTGCTCATCATTTTCAACCTCCAACTTGAGGGGAGGCTATTAGAGTATTAGATAATGACTGATGCTATCTTTAGGCTATTGTTATAATTTAGAATTGGCCCATATTGTATTGCTTTGTAATTGGGTCACCGGTCAAGACCCTATTTATAAGTTCCCTTCTCATTCTTGTAAAGACATATTTTCATTTTTTACTCAATAGAAAATATCTGTTTTTCTCAGGTCATGAACCGTATCTTAAATTTTGTCATTTCCTCTTTAAATCTCTGTACTAAACAGACATCACCTAAAATGAGGATTTCTTCAAGATTTGAGGTGCGATTAGTTCTAATCATACAATTTAATTTGTTTAAGTTTGAGGTGATGGAATCGCGATATAGTGGAATCTTAGATAGACTTCTCAAATAACAGAAGGAAAAAAACAGATAAATTGGTGCATTATTCTTATACTATTACTTAGAGAAATTAAACAAATTATAATAGAATTGGACAAGGCTTAAATTTGTGTCTTGTCACCAGCCACCAGGTCCACCATACAAAACCATATGTTTCCAATCACCCCCAGCATTTTCAACATCTACGGCGTTGTATAAATTAGGACTATCTACATGTGTTGTCAATTTACCTATGTCTATATTTTCGTCTTTATCGCTTAAAATTGTAATATTTCTACAATATCCATCACGCGTAGTGTTTCCTACAGGGAAAGAGCCTGAACCCATGGGCGGTTCAAGTATTCCAGGTGGACTATATACCACTCCGCCAAATTCAACTCTTGTTGCAAAATACACAAAATCATCAAACACCTCTTGAGGCCAAAAACCAATTGGTGTATGAGTGTTTGTAATAAAAAACCACCAATTTCCATTGTTTAGGTCCTGTTTTCAATAGAAAACAAAATGGTTAATAAATAAAGTTATTTGTGCTTGAAGGTACAACATATATATGGAAAATAAAGTTACCCAATTTAAGTAAAAAGCCAGGTCATATGTCTTCACTCCAGGTTGTGAAACGGGAGAAATTACTGAATCTACCGCTATTTCTGTATTTATAAGTACAAAAGCAGGACATAACAAATTGAAACAAGAATTTGTACCATCCTGAAAAAAAAAATGAAAATCAACATTTAAGGGACCAAAAAACTTATAATATAAGAAGCTAACTGATCTTACTAGTAATGGGAGACTTACGTCGAAATGTATGTATAACCTAGTATTATTGTCGCCATAAAGAGTAGGGTCAACCTGAAGCAAAGAAAAAGGATAGATATGTGAGAATTGAGTTGTAATTAACTCACTTTTCGAGTTATTACCTTGTATTTTACAAGTATAAGGTTAAACAACAACGACCCAGTAAAATCTCACAAGTGGGGTTTGGGAAGGGTAGTGAGTACACACAGAGGCGGAGGTAGCTCTTCGGCTGCGGGTTCGGCCGAACCCAGTAATTTTGATCCAAATCTTATATTTATCTTAAAAATTCGTTGAATATGTAAAAAATATTAAGTTAGAACCCAGTAACTTCAACAAACTAGAATCCTCAACCCATAAGAATCAAGTCCCGGCTCCGCCTCTGTGTACACAAACCTTACCCTACCCTGATGGAGTAGAGAGGCCGTTTTCGATAGACCTCGGCTTAAGAAGATGGAAAAGATGAGAAGAGACAATATATCAGTACCATCAACAAAAATAATAGCAATAATAACAACATCACAATAAAATAGATGAAACGTAATAACAATAACCAGTAAATAAGGCTCGGTGTTATGAAAAATTGAAGGATAGTGTGAATACAACATTAACTAGGAGCCGTCTAAGATCAACCATATCAAACTAGCCTCACCCCCAGTACGAAAGTAGAAAAATGTTCGACTACCTCCTAGCCTACCACTGTACCACAAGTATACAGTTCATATTTCTTAATTCTTTTTGAAGGTGATTGAGGCCAGAGGCGGAGCCAGGATTCCAATTTTATGGGTTCGGAATTTTAGTCGTCTTAAGTTACTAGGTTCTAAATTAATAATTTATACATATTCAATAAAAATTTTAAGATAAATATAGAGTTCAAATAAAAGCTACTGGGTTCGGCCGAACCCACTCTCGACACTCTGGCTCCGCCTCTAATTGAGGCATCATATGAATTAATGTTAAATTTATCAAATAAAATACATGAAAATATGTTTATGTTTACAGGATAAGATGTACATAATTGATTTGACTTACTCTCCAACCAGCTTGTAGAATATTTGACCCTTTAATAATTTTTAATCGACATGCACTATGTTGTTGACCTTCGACATGAGGATTATATACGGCTGCTGCCATGGAAGCTCCTCCAAATTTGTTGTTTGGATTATCGTCATCAGTATGAACAGTCGCAATCTGAAGAGAATAAACAACAATATGATTTAGAAAATTCCACATAGACATGAGATATCCATCTCAAAACTAAAATACAAAAACAATAAAATAAAACAAAATAATTTAATCTGAATAAGTATGATTACGTACCTTGTACCCTTGCAAAGGTTTGTATCTTCTTCTTTTTGAATCAATGGAGTTTTCCCTCTGTGCACAAGTAAATTAATATTATACAAGATGTTATATTAGAAATTTAAATTTAATTTAGTGCGTGATAGGCGCAACGAATCTTTCATGTTTATAAGTTATAAATTATCAATGACAATCAGAGGCAAGTCTAGGATTCGGACTGTACGATCATGGCCTACATCCGCCATGAAATATTGAAAATAACATAATCTTACATGAGTAAGTGGACTGTCGACCATGACATTTTCTGCTGGTGGCATAAGTTTATGTCTAATAAGATCTTCTTTGGTTGTTCTTCTTATTGGAACAGTTCCAACAGGACAACCTCCGTCTGGTAATTCTATTCCTGACAGCTTATTACTTGTTGACATAGTTGAATCGCTCTCTTTCACAAACAAAGATGGTTTCATCTGCTCATCCAAAATTTCTTTTTATAATTCATCACTTATTTTCAGAATTAAAAACAAAAATTGATTGCAGGAGTATATAGTGGAGGTAAACCTGAGGATGGTAATTGTGATTTTTCAGTAATAGATGATCAAATGCAGGTTGTTTGTAGAAGTCCACACAATCATATATATCTCCAAATTTAGTCTGTTGATGAAAAAATCGAAATATAAATGATTTACATTATACCAAAGAAGCAAAGAGTATAACTAGCAGTGTAAACATACAAAGTGGGCTTACGGTATGAATTTAAAGTTAATGAAAAGGTCATTTGAGAAAACGAAACAATTATCTCCAAGTAAGTTAGGTTAATGGTAACAGAGATATCAGAAATTCAAAAAGAACGAGAAAACTTAAACAAAAAATAAAAAGAAAAGGAAAGAATACGCCACAAAATACAAAGATAGTCACAAAAAATAAGCTATTGAAACACGTACCTTAATCGTTTTAATTGCAGGTTTATTTAGAAGTTTCAGGCGCTTCTCCAACTCTAACTTGTCTTGATTGGGTAACTTTCTTCCTCGAACCCCGTCATAGCTCGAGCATAGATAGAGCATAAACAAAAATTGTTCTATAATTTTTCGATTCATTATCATTTTCTACATCATAAAAAAGAAGGTTCGCTGTTAAATGTGTATATGAAGGATATGATTTCTTTCATATACATAAATTGCTAAATGAATAAAAACTTTAAGGGCATTCTCTAGCTAGTATGAACGCCAATACGTGGGTAGTGAAGAGTGTAGAAAATAAGAAAAAAAGAAAAAGAACATCTTATATAGAACCCAATCATTCATAAAATTTCATATATATCAAACTAAATTAGTAAATTAAAATTAAAATAGTA